TGGCTGTTGACTATGATCCTGCATGCTTGCAAGACGCTGAACCATCAGGGGTCCCCTATTTTCTAGAAAACGGGTTTCAAACTGTGGTAAGAGGGTGTCCCACCATTCTTTGCTGCTGGGTCACGTGGAGGCTCACGCTTCCCCCCAAAATCCTCTCGCTTCGCTTCGCGCCTTCTTTTCTTCGCGACGCGAACCGCATCGTTTCTCTTCTTTTGGATCTTTTGGACTCGTCGTTCTTCAAGGAGTCCATGGAAACACTCCTGACGCCAAAGAAGTCGATCGATGTGGTGTCCTGGTTCGACGTGGCGATGGTGGGAGGGTGGACGTGAGGAAAGGGAGAGGGTAAAGGCGATGAGGGAGGAGGGACGGGTTTCGGGTTTCTGGCCAGGGGATTCTTTGAGGATCGCTGGAAGCAATGCCTTGCAACGTTTTGGCATGCCGTAGAATGGGAGCTGGTGTTGCAAGGGCTTGGACTTACCATGTTGGAATATGTTGGAAGAAGTTGACCAGCCAAGCCGCTGGCTTCTCAAAGATCCTTGTATGACTGTGTGTTTTTCTCATGTGGAATAGATGTGTCTTCCAAAGTCCCAGAGTCCCTAAGAACAATTGCATCGGGTTCAAACCGTGGACCATGGACATGCATGGATCTCAACCTCGTTTCAACTGGATCAACAATGCCTTTTCTTCAAAGAACCCAACTCCAATTGATACGGCCAATTTGAAGCCAGACCGGCGGTTTGCAGAAATCTCGTCGAACGAAATAGCAGTTCAAGAGCAACTCTTGGCGCTTAAAAAAGCGCATTGAACGTAGAGGATGTCGTGCCCCGGCAGCTGCATCACCAGTCCACCTAAACTAGTTTTGTCCATATCCATTATTTTGGTGGTTAAACAATTAAGTCTTAACATGTTTCACTTGTGATCTCCCTCACCCGCATGATGAGTGCCAGCCGTGGCCCTCAGTTACGAGCAGCGCTCGCCGCGAAGAACGCCGGGCGTGTCCTGCCGGCGAGTCCTTCGACGCTCGGCCGGCGAGTCCAGCGGAGAACGCCTCCGTCCTGAGATCCCTCAAAGAGCCGGGTCACGGAAAGAAGCGGTTTGAAGGGTGGTCCCTTTGGCGGGTCCATCTCGGGGTCTGTTCGGTCGGTCTTGGCCAGGTGTACACCATTGTTTTTCTGGGCGTGAACGGTGTGGGCAAGTCCACGAACCTGGCAAAGGCCGGCCTTTCGTTTGGAGACTGCCAGCAACCTGGAACCTGGGCGGGGGTGGCAGAAACTTCAAGTCGGTGGAGAGGTTTGTGGAACCGAAAGAGGGAGCTAAGCAAGTGACGTTTCGTTTGTTGATGCAGGTGGCCTACTACTTGAAGCATAAGGGAGGCCTTGATGTGCTGATCTGTGCCTGTGACACCTTCCGCGCTGGAGCTGTGGAGCAGCTGAAGACGCATTCCAGGCGAGATCAAGCACTAGGGTCGCTTGTATCACTGTGCTCGGAAACTGTATACATGTCTTGGTCTGTCTGAACATGCTCGCGCAAACGCATTGGCCGTTGAGCAGGTGCTTGGACGTGCCGCTGTTTGAGCGCGGCTACGGCAAGGACTGCCCAACCCAGCAGTTGCTTGCGCCGGCGAGCAGCAATGAGCGGTCCGGTGTCATTGCTTGTTTAGGATCCGGCGGACATTGCGAAGAATGCTATCGCGCATGCAAAATCCAATGGCCACGCCCTCATTTCCTACCTAAGGGAAGGGATGACGCTCTCCATGACAGTCCCTTGCAGGAATTTGGAAGATGGCATCCTGAGTTTCTGCAGGAAGTGTTGGTTCAGAGATGCTCCCAGGTCATGATGTTGTTCTGGTTGACACTGCAGGGCGAATGCAGGCGACTTCAGCTTTCGCATGCTTTCGCAGGTTTCTTTTTCTTGGTCTCTCTTGCAGCAGTCTCAAACCACCTGCAGTCAGGACAATGAACCGCTCATGCGAGCGCTCGCAAAGCTGGTTGCCATCAACAGTCCTGACCTGGTGCAACCTGACCTGGTCCATTTGTGTCAGTTGGATGCAACACTAACATGGACGGCACATGGGCTCATGAGATGGTCAAGGGAAGCGCTCGCTTCAAAACGCCAAACAGCAGCTGGGTGTTTGCTGCATGCTGTGCTCGGAGGTGCTTTTCGTTGGTGAAGCGCTGGTGGGCAATGATGCCATTGATCAGGCCGATGGTTCAAGGGCTGCGAACGGGGATTTATTGGGACGTTTGTATGGCTCACTGCATCTCTCATACCGATATGGTGCTCAAGACAGCAGAGACTTGAAATTTGTTTCTTCTTTGACTTCATTTGACTTGCTGACTTGCAACATGGGGGACTCTTGAGATCTTCACATTGTTGATCTATCTTGAGCTCCTCAGGCATCATTTACAGGAGCAGAACCCTTCGGTGGCAAGGACCCCTTTAACAAGGTCCTTTCTATTGCTCTAGGGAGTGCCAGGATCAACCAGGCCGTCCCCCTTGTCGGGCCCGAAGCTCGCTGGTCCTGAGCAGGTCTCCAAGTTCAACCGATCTTTGGTGGATCTCTCTGCCGATCCGAGGAGCGGTAGGGTGGAGGGATTCTTCACCTAAGACAGAAGCGGATCACACAGTTCGCACGGAGTCCCCCATGGAGTATGGAGGCCTTTGAGGAGGGTTTGATAGGAACCCTCCAGCCTGATAGGAACCCTCGTGGCATTGACGGGATGCTGTTAACGAAGTACGACACCGTGGACGACAAGGACAGGGTCAACATCACATTTGGATTCTCATGATGGTATTGTTTCAGCATAGAGGTGGCTCAGAGAATATTCATCAAAATGCAAATGAGGGTTGTGGGATTGAGACAGGAAGGTGCATTGTGTCACGGTCATGACAGATTAATGTGGGATTCAATTCCATCTTTGAACACTCCAGTTACTTGCCTAGCTGATGGGCTGATGAGAGTGTTGGGTAGGTGAAAGCACTTGTTCAGGTTGGTGCAGCCTTGTCAATGGTTTATGTGACAGGTTCGAAGCTGAGTGCTGCTTGTTCAGAATGTGGCCATTTGGGCAATATGAGTGTGTCTCACAATAGACGACAAACCCTTGTCTTTGGAAACGGACTCTAGACCACGAACCCATCGCAACACGTAGAGAGTCTTCCCATTTTGAGACAACCGCCAGCAGACTTGAGGTGTATTCTTTCTAGATTCTATTCCTTCTTTTCCGCACCAACATGGAGCGCAGACAGTTGACCTAGAACTGGAGGTCAGCCAGTGGTTTTTGTTGGCACTGGACAGAAGTGCGCTGGACAGCTTCCGCTTCCGGAACTTGGTCAGGTTGCTGAATTCGAGTGAAAAGGATGCTGGACAGCTTCCACTCTGACAGGTACACACACTTGCGCAAAATGCAAGCAAAGGAAGTGGCCTCGCGCCCAAAGTGCAAGCGAGAGGACGGACACTTTACATACATATATATATATATACATACACATGTTTGTTTCGATATGGGTGTGACCCACATGGGATTGTGGCATCCCGCAAGCCCATCATGCAATTGAATGTTTCTTTTTCTCTGGATTCAAGAGCTCTCCCTTTGATTGAGAGGCATGTCCAGCGTACCTAGGTGAAGACTCTTCTTGGCTGAGTGCCGCTGACCCACAGTTCTCAGGGGCTTCTGGCTGGGGGCACTTTGATGAGAACAGCTGGCCCACCACGCGAAAAAGGCTTTTGCCACAAACAATGACTGCGTGTAATGACTTGCGCCAGATGCCCCACCTTAAGATACCGCCACTTTCTGAGACCTGCGAGAACAGCTGCAAGGAACAGAAAGGTGGGGAGAAAATGTCGGGCCGTTCTGAGTCCGGAGACCGGCGTTGGTCTCCGGCTGCGGGGTTGTGAGCCGCAGACCATCCACTAGACCCCCCGACATCCATGGGCGGTTTTTCGAGGTTCATTTGGAGTGGGGTTTCATTTGGACTCCACAAGGTCGGCGGCGAATTGTGGGAACAGGGTTGATGTTGCTTTTTGCGAAGAGGGTCTTGAGTTCTGAGCTTTCAGAAGTGTTCCTTCTCCATGGTTCGTCCAAGGTGTTCGGGCGTTTGAGAAGGCTACAACGCATTCACATGCTTGACCGCTGCTGCGTAGGGAGTGTGTTCTCCATCTGACGACTAGATGCACCATGTTTTGGGCAGATTTCCAGTTTCCGCAGTCATGCATGTTTGTTGCGGTTTGTGCATGGCACATCCCTTGTCCGCATGCATGCATAAATGAATGTGTGGGTGTGTGTGTTTGCCAGCTGCAGGCTTGTGTGCCAGAGCAGTTCGTATCAGAGGCTCAAGCAAATAAACTTAGATAGTCGAGTTTCGTTAAAATCATCCAAGATGCTCATTTTCTTGGAGATTCTCCTAGTCACACCGAGCTGCTGCAACAGCAAGAACTTCTCAAATGAGCAAAATGAAGAGAAACTCCCTACAAACCCTTGTCTTTGGAAACGGACTCTAGACCACGAACTCATCACAACACGTAGAGAGTCTTCCTATTTTGACAACCGTCAGTAGACTTGAGGTGTATTCTTTCTAGATTCTATTCCTTCTTTTCCGCACCAACATGGAGCGCAGACAGTTGACCTAGAACTGGAGGTCAGCCAGTGGTTTTTGTTGGCACTGGACAGAGGACAGCGCAAAGCTTCCGGAACTTGGTGAGGTGCTGATTTCATCTGGAGAAGACGCTGGACAGCGGAACCGCTCTGAAGTATGTATTTATTATATGTATATATATATATATATGTTTGGTTCTACATGGGTGTGACACACATGGCATTGTGGCATCCTAAGCTCAGCATGCAATTGTGTTTCTGTATATTTTTTGGATTCAGAGCTCTCCCCCTGATTTTATTGAGATGCGTAGAGGCTTATTTTCTCGGGCGCCAGGGACCACTTCTGAACTTCTGCACCGGAGAGCCCCCCGAGCAATGCTCCGACAGGCAGGTACATGGCACGTGACTCCAGGAGATAAAACTGTGGGTACGCAGATGTGAGCATTTGTGAGCCGAAGGGAAAGGCCGTTGCTGTGAGCATTTGTGCGCTGGACATTGCTCAAGACTCTCCATGATTTGATACCCCTTTTGCGCTTTTTCCCTGACAGCACCACAGTTTCAGTGCTATGCCGTGCCATGTACGACGGCCGACACCGCTGGAAGAGCATTCGAAGTCACTTCAAAACAGCACCGGAGATGCCGAGCCGATGCTGTTCCCAATGTACACCGTGCCTGTGAGTGCAATCCTGTCCATGACAACCCTGGAACCTCATGAGGCACTGAAGCTGCAAGGCCTGCTGGTTCAATTTGACAAGACTATGGGCAAGGCCCTGTTTGTGTCACACCAGTGGGTGGGTAAACGCCATCCAGACCCCGATTTCATCCAGTTCAGTGTGCTACAAGATGCTTTGAGGCATCTCATGTCCGAAGTGCAATATATAGATTCCTGGATGAATTTTGTATGATTTTGTTTCTTTAAAGGGAAACAAGGGAAACACATCTACAAGATCGCATCTTTCGATTCTGTAAACGTACCCCAATCGAAAACCGCATGCCCTGTCTATTTGTGTCGATCTCAACTCAGGAACTGGACGTCCGGACCGAGGTTGCTTTGCCAAGTGCCAAGCCTTTCGCGACTGCAGAGCTGAAATCGGCCCCTCTCTTTGTTTGGTATGACTACTTCTCCTGCCCACAGCTGGAGCATTTAGTTTCGCACAAGCTTGTTGAGAGCGGACTGATGAGCGACCTCGCCAAGGCGGTGAACAGCATTCCGCTCTATGTCGCTCAATGCTCCTTCTTCTTTGCACTTTGCCCGGTCATCGAAAGCGAAGACCATTCCAAGTTGCTCGGCCCCCAGAGCTGGGCATCCCGAGGCTGGTGCCGCATTGAGAGGTGTTGTCGGGAGCTCTCTCCAGAAGGCTCCTGGGTCCTGATCCGGAGTGCCAAGCAGATGGAGTTGATCTGCTCTCCACTAGCCACTCCAGGGTCTGGGTCGCCGGGTGAAGGCCAGTTCACTGTGGAGGAAGACCGCCAGAGGCTCGGGCCGATTCTCTTGAAGACCTTGCAGCGAAAGCTGCGATTCTTGCTGCAGTCAGGAGACCTTGTGGGATATAGGGTCCTTTTGAACCATCAACCTCTTTTTCTAAGGGGTTTTCATGTGCCGGCCATGTATGACCTTGTTCCTGGCTTTGACGCCGACCCCTTCAAAGATGGTGCCCTGACCGTGTCCAAGTTCCTCTACAACAACGGCTTCAGCAAGGTGACGGAGGTGGACCAGGTTGGTTGGACCCCCTTGCATTATGCTGGTTGCCGTGGTGATCCTGACTTGGTTCGAGCCTTGCTGGCACAGCGTGCGAACCCGAATGTCAAGGCTGCGAAGGACAATGTCATGGCAGGAGCGCTGCCCAAATGGAGGGTGATGACGAGTGTTGCCGCCTGCAGACATCATGAGGTCGCCCGCATTTTGATAGAGGCCAAAGCTGAACTGAGCGGGACACAGTTGGTGGGAGCATGCATCGGCAATGATCCCGAGGGAATCCGACTCCTTTGTGAAGTGGGTGGTGTGAGCCCTCATGCCGCGGATCACGAGGGTGGATATGGAGTGCTGGCGATTAATCTTGCTTGCATGTATGGAGCCACCGCTGCGCTGGAAGAACTGGTTGCCCAGGCCGTGCGTGGCAGTGCCAGTGGCATGAGGCAGGGCAGTATTGATGTGTCCCATGCGTTTTGGCTTGCGGCTTGCTTCGGGAATTGCAGTGCGGAGCTGGTGGATACCTTGCTGGATCTGCGGGCCGATGTCAATGAGCAGTTCCACCTCAGTGTGAGACATCCGGTGGGACTGCTGGTCAAAGTCATGGCCCTGAAGCATCGTTTTGGCAAGCAGACACACTTCAGCAGAATGAGCTTCCATGCCAAGGGTGCTACTCCTTTGATGCAAGCAGTGATGGGGGGACAGTATGAAGCGGCCGCAGCTCTCATTGCCAGGGGCGCACGCTTGGACTTGCGCAACTCGTGTCTTGGACTTGAACAAAAGGAATATCATTTTGTACATATTTGTACTGAAAGAAGAGATGATGGGACAGCTACTTCATGTAACTTCCAAGCTTTCTGGCCAGTTCAGCAAACAGGCATGGCTACACTGTGGCAGACCTAGCCAAGGGCCGATCGCCGCCGGTGTTTCTAGTGCAAGCCTTTGCGGGGCAATTGGCCGGTTGCTTGAGGGTGGCGTCGCTGGCGCTGGGTTCGGGGTACGGAGAGGAGGGGGAGACGGAGGAGAACGATGTGATGATCGAGGTGCATTTCTGAGGGCGCTGTGCGCACCATTCTGACGCGTGGTGTGCTGCGATCCGGCATTAGAGCTGATATGGCAGTCTTTGAATTATAGTTATACACGTAGTTGGTCTATATAACTACCAGTATTTTCATGTACAGTTTTTCCTTCTGTTGTTGGCGGGTGGAAGAACACCCGTCATGGACTGTTTTTGCGTGGAGAGAGATTTCCCCATCTCAAGCTGTCTCCCTCCTCGTGATATACCCTGCACCCTTGCGAGATCAACAAGAGTGAGTTCCAGCCCGGCTTCAAATTCAGTGACATCCAGCCCATTTTGCTGGAGTTGCCCTTACTGTCACATCCATTTGCAACTTATAGATTTCTTATTCCAGACAACTGCCTTGCTGTGCACATGTAGTGTTCCCCACTGGAACTGGAATTGGAATTCCCCCCCAAAAAAGCACTAGACGACGAATGGCCCGGGAGCTTGGAAAGACAAGCGCACCAGTATTTGGGTGTACAGTATCTCATAGGAAGGTATGTCAAGAACACTTTTCTGAGACTTGCTGTGGAGAGGTCAATGGCATAGGTGCACCTGGCACTCAGAGGAAATTGGTGGACGTAATTTGGCCACATGGTGCGCCACAGACGATATGTATATATATATATACACACTGTATATAAACATTTATGTATATACAACAATGTAACATCAATCCTCAGCCGCGCAAAGCCGCATGGCACAGGGACATCCCAGCCATCGTTACGCCACACTGTATG